TCTGATGATGCCTTTATCAGGACATTTTACTCTTTTGTCCGCATGATGAAAATAACACATTGAGTTTAAACAAAATGCACCATTTAAAAAAGACAAAAAACGAGCTTTGCGCAGTGGCAATATCATAGCCAGTGAGGTTTATCCGAGGCATGATTATTGCTAATTGAAAACTTTTCCCAATACCTCACCATGACTTCAAATATAGTTGGCATTGGCAACTTTTGACAGTCTCTACGGAGACTGAACAATTAAAAAATCCCAAAAACCAGTAAGCTGAAGCTATTCCTGTTGAATCGAGTCTGCTCAGAGTGACTGTAATACAGAACAAGAGCAGAACCCTCCTAGAGGGCAGGCGGGGAATGTCCTGCTGTGGCCATATGCCCAAACCAAACTCACTCCCACCGAGTCAATTCTGACTCAGTGACTCAGGACCGAACTGCCCCGTGGGCTTTCCAAGACTGTGATTCTATGAGAGGCGAACGCCTCAGCTCTCTCCCTTGGAGCCGCTTGGAGCTAGCTTCTAACTGCTGACTGGTTAGCTGCCCAGCACATAACCCACCGTGCCACCAAGGGCCACCAGCTGTATCAGGCCCTGGTAACTTCATGGCATTTTTTCAAAGAGCAGTACTATCTCCCAGAACCATCCATGCCAGCTACCATCACACAGCTCACCAAGAGAGCCAGTTCCAGCCAACACATTCGGGATGAGTTAAGTCAATGTTTGACCAAATCCAGCAAGCTCATTTTTAAGTTGACCATTTTGTATGGCCCGTGAAGGATGTTATAAATAGCCAAAAGAGCCTTGGCAGGAAACAGGTTCCGCACCCCAGTCATCAGGGTTCTAAGGCTGCCAGTCTTTTGAGCAGCAGAGCGCCACGTCTTTCTCCCACGGAGTGGCAGATAGACTCAAACGGCCACGGTTTTGGTGACCAGCCAAGCACTGAGACCCTGCCACCCGGGCTCCTAAAATGCTCCATGAGAAGTTTTATTTCTGGACATAATGTTCAAGGCATTTAAGAACCCTCCAGCTAAAACTCTGGAGTCAGCAGTAAAGTCTTTCTTGTGCTGCTGTTTCTGCTGGCAAAAGAGCATCCAGAAAAAAGTCAAGACTTCTCTCTGGGGAGAAGGCCGTGCCTATATTTTGATAAATACATTAGGGGTTCAATTGGTTTGATTTCCTCAAGGAATGATGAACACCATGGGTTCTGTGATCTCAGGAAGCAAGTGGGCTGCCATTTTCATTATCCCCCAGAACAGCTACGTTAAAATCCAGTAGCCGGGTAGTGACCCTATCCCCCTATCAGGCTGCTTTCTTAAGCTGTTGGAAGCGAGCTCTTACAAGAAGGCATGCTTGTCATGAGTCTAGGGAGGCTCTGGTCAGGGTAACCAAACACGGTGTATGAGTTGGGGTGCTAACCAGACTGCTCAGCAGTTTGAACACACCAGCCTTTCCTGGGAGAGGAGGCTTTCTGCTCCTGTAAAGACTTACAGCCTCAGAAACCCAAAAGGGTTAAAATAAATAAATAAAAACTAATGACCACACACACACAAAAAAGAAACCCAAAAGGGTAGCTTTACTCTGTCTTAAATCTCTACCATCAATCTCTAGCCTGGGAGTTGAAACTCTGGGCTCAAGCCTAAATTCTCCCACTTACCAGCTGGTGACCTGGGTCAGTATCAGCTGGAATCTACTCAGTTGGTACTGAGTGGGCTGTACTGCACAGCCTACTGGAGTTTCTGGATGGTCCATTTAAATGCCTATCTGAAGGCTGGTAGTTCCAATCCACTCAGAGGGGCCCCAGAAGCAAGGCCTACCTAACCATCGACTTCTAAAAGGTCACAGCCTTGAAATTTAGGGAGCATTGCTACTCTGCACATGTGGGGTTGCCATGAGATGGAATCAGGTCAATGGCACCTGGCTGTTGAACAAAATCCTAGTGGGTTTCTGCTAAAACTTTTATTGTAGCTAAAAAATAAAAGACTCAATGCCAACAGTGACCCTAGAAGATGGGGTAGAACCTGCCTGCCCCTGTGAGTTTCTGAGACTGTAGCACTTCACAGGAATAGAAAGCCCCCTCTTTCTCCCTGGGAGCAGCTAGTGGTTTCAAACCGCTGACCTTGAAGTTTTCAGCCCAATGTGTAACCACTACATCACGACGTGTCTCCTCATTGTGGCTAGAGAGTCCTGGAAATAACCCACAACCTACTTTCTGTGACATTAAAATCTTGACTCTCACAGATAAAGAGATTTTTAAAAAGGAATAAGTAAATAGCTAAAAATAAAACTGAACTCCGCTCTCACCAGGGTTTTGTTTACTTTTGCCCCCAGCTCCCACCCAGTGGTCTTTCCCTAGTCTGATAGTTCTTGCTATTGAGAAGCCCGCTTTAGGCTCACGGGAAGACAGGACATAGCACCAGATACACTGTTAATCCCCAAATTCAGTGTTGTTGCCCGAAGCCTACAAGGTAGCAGGGGCGGAATAACGGTCATCTTCAGTCTAGGAAAACTGAAAAGCAGCTGCGGTCAAGTTGACCGGAGACTCCTAGTGCCCCGTGGGCGTCAAAAGAGAACTCAGCTCCATGAAGTCCTCTAAGGCTTACTCTTCAGAGATCAATCACCGCCTTTCTTCCCAAGGCTCCTCTGTGTCGACCCAAATGTCCAGCCTTTCAGTGCGCAGCTGAGCATGTCCACCATGTATACTACTTCCAGGGAAGGAGACTGTGCAGCAGGAATTAGAAGACAGAAAAAGTATGGGGACTTGGGAAACTAATTAGTTCTGTAAAGTTTACCCAAACCACACATTAGGTTTAACTTCTCAAACTAAAAATGTCAAAAAGTAAAACTATGAGGCCAAGCCCTTTGATCTTGAGAGATGGGGTACAGATGATTTTATGAGTGCCCATATTTAGATGACGTATCTCCTGGCGGTTTGCTATCAGCTGCTAACCCAGAGATTGGAGGTTCCAACCCACCCGGAACTCAGTGGGAGAAAAGGGCTGGGGGACTGCTTCTGTACGGATCACAGTGTAGACAACCCTGGGGACAGTTCTCCAACACACGGCTGTTGCCACAACTTGGGATTGACTCCGTAGCAACAGGTTTGTTTTTGTTTTTGTTACCCTGTCTACTGAACATCTAAGACAACGCAACTCACACTGTCCAGTTGTCAGGGAGCACACAAGTGTGCACGCACATGTGCATGCACCCACGTTAAACTGAGAGGACAATTAGAGAAGGATTAGGATTGTGACAAACACGTTACCAGAGAGTAAACCAGGATGCACCTGGAGTGTAGGGCCAGGCATTGCCATTCTGAGTAGCTATCCAGGTTTAACTTCATGGGGATGGAAAGCAGGCATCAACCTCTAGCCTGGGGGTTGAAATTCTCCCACTTACCAGCTGGTGAGCTGGGACAGGTCACATACCCTCTGAGTCTACCCACGAATACCAACTTTGCCCAGGATTATCAAAGTCACTGCCATCGAGTCTGAGCTGACTCTTAGCAACCCCTGTGGCTTTCTGAGACCGTCACTGTTGACGGGAGTAGAAAGCCCAGGCTTTCTCCGGAGGAGCCGCTGTGGTTTCGAACTGTAGACTGTGCGGGTCGCAGCCCAAGTGTAATCACTGTGCCACCACGGTGCCTCCCAGAATGACTAAGAAGATCAAAATTAGTTAAAGGCTGAGTTCAAAAAGTACGATCGAACTATGAGGTGCTATTTGGGGGCGAAGAATAAAGAATGTCCACCTTTCAACCTTGGGGGTTGAATGTGTCTTAACATTTCCATTTTCGCAGAACACTGAGATCCACGTAGTGTGTTGAGGGCCCGTATTAAGCACCTGAGCTCCATATTTCCAGGGTCTTCAACTCTCACTGCATTGCCGAGTATCCAACATTGCGACTAGCTGCAAGGAAGGGCTGGCAGCGTTAGGGGAGGTTAGTCAGCGGTCCCCTCCGAGGAGCGGGGGTCCCGGGGCTCAGGTGGAGAGGTCACTCGGGACCAGGCTCAAGGGTCCTCCGAGTGTGTCCTCCTGGCACGAGGAGGTCCGCCCCACTCTAGCACGGAGCGGCAGGGGGCGCGGCCCATTTTAAAGCACAATCCCGGGAGGCCCCGTCTGCTCCCCGTGCCCATCGAGCCCGCAGCGCGCGACCCCAGCCGACGATCCCCGGG